GTAAGAAATCACTAGTTGATGTTTACATACTATCCTCTTACAAATAGATGTCCAATATACAAAAGTGGAACATATAAAGTGGGAATTCAAACAGAGAGCCTGCAAATAGTTCTGTTCAACTATACAACAAAAACTTAGTAATATGGTTATCAAACCTATACACTTAAACATACATGCAATTATCCATATGTTCAATTATGTTGAGATTGAACAAACCCAAGCAGGCAAATATAACTCTGAACAAAGAATAATACTATTGCTGGGTTTCACATTATGACTCTCCAGGATCAGCACTGGGTACTTTAGTGTCTTTTTTTCTTCAAAATATTTGTTCATTTCATCATGTGTCATAAGATCAGTTCTCATAAACTGTTGATAGATTCTACACATGCATAAGTCTCAACATGTATTTCTATCCTTTCTGTATTAGAGAGAGAAACAAAACAAAGCAAGACAAAACAAAACATATTCTACAAACACATGAAATGAAAAAGACATATAAGACCGTTGTACAAGGAGTTCTACCATAGTTCCTGTGTTGTCTCTTGTTATCTTCAATAGAATTGGCTATATCATCAGACATAGTATAATTGAATATATCAGTACATAACAGTATTAATAAAAACACATTGTATGTAGTATAAAACTTCAAAAACAGGCAGTAATCAAGGCAGAATGTGTATCGTAGTGAGTCTTGTAGTATATATTTTAATACAAGAAAATGCTACACAGCAATGAAAACGAATGAACTACTGCCAAATAGAATCACCTGAATAATTCTCAAAACCACTGTGCCAAGTGAGAAACAGCTTGATTCTACTTATATGAAATCCTCAAATTGGTGAAACAGAAAGAGACAGAAAGTAGATCAATACAGGCAGGGCTAGGGACATCACCAACAAAGCGGTATGAGAGATTTTGAGAAACTCAAAAACTTTTGCTATTTAGGATAGTAGGAAAGTAACTGATATGGGTGATTATATTAGTTAATATTTATTGAATTATACACTCAAACATTATACCTCAATTAAATGTACTTTTCTTTAAAAAGGTATTAAGCATACCAATCAGATGTTACAACAAGGTGCTCAAAGTGCTTGAAGGCTGAGAGAGATCTTCATAGAAGAAGGTGAGATGCCAACAGGGGGGAGGGCAGGATCATGAATGTGCTACCCTCAGAAGTCTCCCATATTTGGGTCTATGAAATAAGCTGAGAGGAAAAAAGCCTAATTCACCACATGAGTGCATATGAGAGTCTCATAATACATGAGACTCAAACAAGGACAAAACAAAGTTTACGCAGCATTCTCAGCTACATGAAGAAACAGGGGCTTAGGCTGCTGCAGAGAGTAGTGACAGAGTATGGCACGTGAGAGAGCACTGCTTCAGGAACAAAGGTAGCTGTGTAGCACAGATAAGGTCTGCCAGGCAGCAGCCCTGACAGCAGGCAATAGGCTGTGCCAGTCTCAATAGACTGGGTGTGGAACATTCATCTGTTTTCGGTGCTAGCAAAAAGCCAGCCTTTCCTGCTGATAAGATTCCTAGGGGAAGGATCATGTCCATTGATTAATATCTGTAGTGCCCTCAAGAAATGTCCTCAAATGCCCTCAAGTAATCATCCTAGCAAACCTTCACACTACCAGGTACTCATTTCTGAGTTACAGCAGAACAAAAAAGGAAGAAGTAGAGCATCTATGAAATTACAAGTGAAGAACAGTCTGCCATCAGGGCACACCCACTGTAAATGGCGCCTGAGGATTTGGGTGGGTATAGAAAAATTTACGAATGAAAATGTCAGTGGTGATAAGGAAGATGATTACAGAATGTCTTGCAGGATGGAGGCAAGAAAGAAAAGCTGAAGTGAAGAGGGCCTGAAAATGGGTAGGACAATCAGTTCCAGGAGTCAGGGCTGGCGAAATCAGTCATCAGCAGAGAGGCCTGGTGAGGAAGCCACAGTCCCCTTCACCAGCCATATAGGACAGGTTTGTCAGTGACAGGAAAACAGAATTGTATTTTAAAAAGGAAACAGAATCCAGCAAAGGCTTTTGCTTTCCTTAATTTTCAGTTTTCTGTGATCATTAAAATGCAAAAGGCAAGGAGACTGTAGGAAGTGAGACACAGAGAGTAAGTCCCAAATCTAAAACAGGAAAGCGTAAATAGAAAGGTCAGGCTCAGCCAAGATAACATTAGCACCTCATCTGAAGATGGGAGGAGTAGAAAAATCATCCTTGGAACCAAGAGGGAGGAAATAAGAAAGAGCTGCTACCAGACAATACTGATTGTCACAAGACTATAAGAAAGATGCTTGCCTGCAGAGAGAAAGGCAAGGGGACAAAAATATGTAAGACCACATATAGGGATTGTCCAGTAAAATCAATAAAGGATACAAGACTCGTCAAGACCTTACCAGAGTTAAGTAAAAGAAGATCAGAGAGTTAAAGTTTTTACCATCAGTGTATCTCAGGTACTGAACTGACAGTAATGGATAATAATGACACAGAGCACAAAGGAAGATCAAAAGGACAAGAATGTGTGATTCTTGGGAAAGGACAAGAATCTGTGGGAAATAGGAATGCATACATGGTCTGAAAATAAGGTTCAGGGGCCAGAGAGGAAGAAAAGCTGGGGCTGAGAAACTGCAAAGCACAAACCGCAAAAGGTCAGTCAGCAGAAAGTTTGTCTGCAACAATCCTGGTTTGCATCAGTCATCCTGGTTTAATTAGGAGAAGCATTCTTCGCAATTAAAGAGCCAGAGAGGTGTCAGTATGTGAGAGGAGCAGATGCATTCAGACTGGAAAAGACAGCCACTGATGAGGATGATTTGGGTAAAGAAGACTCAATATAAACTCCTGAAGAGACTGGTTTCCACTTCCAGAGTACCATGAAAAGGTTATTGCCAGAAGGAATCAACAAGACCACCAAGCACACAGTAAGAGCTCTGGCACAGGACCAAGGCAGCACCACCCAGGACTCCCAAACATTCCTTCTGCTGCTGTTCCACTTTGCAGGCTCTAAGCACTGAAGGCAAGCCCAGCTCCTCCTTCCTGCTGTGCTCCTCCTGATCCTGCAACTGACAAAGCCTCATGGCATTCTAACTTGAAAGAGCAACAGTTAAAGGAAAGCTATTCATTATCACTCAGATGAAAGGCAAACATGGAGCGCAGTGGCAATGAACTGAAAACCAGCGCCACACTCAACGAGGAACATGAATTCATAAAGTATTAATATGTTCTAAAATGGGTTCTTAGGATTTTTCTGAGATGACCTGAACGGCTTTCTGCAAGGACTTCCACAAGAATTTTAACATACATGCGCTACAAAGACCAGCGGGGTTGGTTCACACACTTGCCAAGTTTGGAGGGAGCCAAACTGAGGGTAGTATGCTGCTGAGGGAAAAAACCAAGGAACCTATCTCCCACCTTTCATTGTGGCCTCCAGTAGCCAGCAGCCCATGCCTGTGGTTTCAGCTGCATAGTAATCCCTTGACTATTTTGTAAGAGAGCATAAAATTGTCACTGGAAAGTCCTGTCAGAGTCTCCTACTCCCCTTAACTGCTACTTTATTTCTGCTTCTATAACCTCAGCTGCACCAATGTGAGACTGTCCAGTGGAGCAGTAATAGTATGAAAGTGAAAACGAACTCCTGTTTGGAGTTCTCAGTGTGAAAGGAGTCCCTTGCAGATCTGCCATGAAAGCTACTTTTTACTCCTAACTCTATGCTGGAGTGCTGTGTTTGGGATCTCATTCATCTCCTACTTCAGTGCCAAAGACAGTATTAGGCACCGCACTTTTAAGGCACTGCACAAACTTGGTGAGATAACGAACAGAGGTGTGTGTTGTACCCCCAAAACGAGGCCCCAAGCTGTTGTTCAAAAAATGGGGCAAGACGTATTTAAAAAGAAGCACTTTATTTTAGCTGGCACCCAGCAACACAACCTGCATTGAAATCTGCAGAGCTGTGTAACCAGGTTAGGTTACAGGGCGTTTTTAAGAGGAAAAACTACAAAGAGGAGAAAAGGGGAGGGAGCTTATACAAAAAGGGAGTTAATCTCTGAAAAATGTTTTATAACCAGGGCCAGGTGATCCTGGGACAGAGTGTTTTATAATTAATGGTCAGCAAATGTTTTTACAACCTAAGGGTCAGTTGGTTCACAGACCAAATTGCTGTTCTGGAAGGGGATAATTCACAAGAAACCAGAGTTAAAACACAAGTCAGTGTAACGATGCTTACAGAACAGGATAGCGGCGCCTTAGCCAGGTTACAACAGTGTGATTATCACCATTTGGTACAGTAGGAAACTGAGTCAGGGGCTAGAACTCTTCTCCTGACCAATGTGATAGCTGGTTCACCTCACTGCCTCTCTTTTTTCCGGAGCTCTGATTCAATTCCCTCCTTTCAGAAAGACAGTAACTCAGGTCAGACCCCATATCTTAATTCTGAGGAATCTTCAGTACAGCTTTCTATCACGCCTAAGAACACTGAGTCTCTAACTTCCTCAAGCATCAGAAGCACCTAATAGATTGATTGTTGGGCCCTACCCACTGGGGTTTCTCATTCAGTAGATCTAGAGAAGGACCCAGATATTTTGCATTTCTACAAAGTTCAACTGCTACTGCCAAGGTTGCTGGTCAGATGACAGTGGGATTTTTTTTTTAAGTTTTTAGTTTTTTGAGACAAGGTCTTGCTATATAATCCAAACTGAACTTGCCCCCATCTGGAAGTGGTAGATTGGAATTAATTTACTGCAATGCCAATAACTTTCCCCTGGGATCACAAATATAAACTTCCCAGACCATGATGAAGTCCATGATGGGCTTTCTATAACACTTGTCTTTCCATGTCTGACTTATTTCATTTAACAAGATCTACTGTTGTTAAATCCATTTTTTAACAAATGACATGATTTTATTCATCCTTATGGCTGAATAATACTCCATGGTGTATACATATATTTGTATTTTTTATCCATTCATCAGTTCACAGGTACCTTGGCTGATTCCAAATCTTAGCTACTCACAGGATATCTTGATAGGAGCTGTGAGAGAACAGAAAAGTGACAGCATTAGAGAAAAGGAAGCAGGAAATGGAGGAGAGAAAAACTGAGGAAAGGGGCAGATGAGAAAAGGAGACTTACCGGCCCCTTCTCATATAGATGATTAAGCACCCAATGATCACCAGGATTGCAAGGCACAGCAGAACAACCCAGATGATGCTGGAGGAGTGACTTGCAGCTGTTTTAGAGGGGACACAGGATGGCTCTCAGCACATGGCCCCTCCCTATATAAATCCCTGCTCTAAACACAGGCAAGGAAGATCAATGCTTCTTATTTCCTCCCCCATTTAAAGTTCTTCTGCTCCTCATAAGTTTAGATTTCCATCTTTTCGCCAGATCATCCCTACTTCAGTTCACCCCAGCACATAGTAGGCATCACAGAAGTGAAGCTTGATAGCTGGGCAAAAGTGAGTCTATATTCATAATCTATCTCCCTATAGCTGAGGACCAGTACTCCCACTTTCAGCCTGGGTCCCAGTCCTTTCTCACCCCAGTGGAGAACGATGTCCTGCCCTTCTAGACTGCTGTGCTTCACTCGGCAAGACAGACCAGCGGCCTCCTTAGCTACCACATCCAGGGTCACTTGGAGATACCATGTGTCATCACCATTGGGTAGAATGTCCCCTTTCTGAGTTTCAGGCTGCTCCTGCTCGCCCCGCATCCACATCACCCACACGGGCTTTGGGTAGAAGCCAGAGACGTGGCACACCAGCTGCAGATGGCCAGGCCCAGGGCTGGGTCCCTGGGACAGCCAGGCCTTGGGCTTCACTGTATCCAACAAGAAAATAGGAGATCTTAAAGTGTGTACTGTACCTTAGATACTCTGATTCTATCAGGTTCCCACTTCCCACAGGTCCACTTCTGGAGGTGAAGTTTCCAGGTAGCTTTGATTCTTTGTGTCACCTTCTCCAGGTCAGCCTTCCCTGCTACTCCTTCCCTGCTACTCCTTTCCCGATCACAGTGCGTTGTATCATCCCTCACCTGCACTGTCTGACACCCTGGGTTCTGTCACTGCACATAGTAGTTTCAAACACTGCCTGACTCAGTTCTGACTGTGTTTATTTCAGTCATGACATACAAGAGGTAACACTCAGTGACTGTTGGTGAAACAGCTCCCTGAGTAGAAAAGCCCAGATGAAGCCCAGGTGCAGAGCAGAGTGTGAGATGCCTGCAAGGCTGACCTTGTTGCTCCAGTTCTGACTTCCCTTCCTCAAGGAGGCCACTGACCACCTGGGGACAGGTGTCATTGAGAAGCGACTGCACCATTTCCCTTGTTCCTCGGTCCTTGTTCAGCTCTTCGACGGCCCGATTTACCAAAAAAGGGGCTCCTGGCACTGATTTCCAAGAAGTTCCCTGGAAACTCACGACGTGTATTCCTCCAAGTGCTACATGTAAAAAGTTTTCCGAGGCATTTCCAGGGTATGCCTTGCAGCCAGCAGACATCTGGAGCTCAATGGGATCTGTGGAGAGGAATGCACAGATTTAAGAGGGATGGAAAAGATCGCAAAGGATGAAAGAGAAGAAATTGCTTATGAGGGTTATACTGGGGGGCCGCTCTTGAGGGAAATGAGAGTGGTTGGCTTGCAGCAGGCAGGAGCACTGAGTACTTTCAGGACTCAGAGACCGGATTTCTCCAAGCAGAAGTCCAAGTCCAGATGAGCTAAAGAAAATAGAATCTCATCGAATGCGGCCTCAGTCTTCTGGGCGGGCTTCTGTATCCTCTCTCCCCCGCTGATGCCTGCCTAGGGTCCCATCCCTCAACTCACAGGCCACAGGCAGCATGATGGCGAGTTCCTGTATGTCCCTGGTGAAGCTTCTTCGATAAATCCCAAGTATGTGCTGCAGCTCCTCCCACTGTTGGCGGCTAAAGGTGCCCTGGGACCAGGGCTTCAGAAAGTGGATGGTGTCAGAGCCATTCCTCCAAACGTGCGTCTGCAGCTCTCCCAGCCATGCCAGGCCGTCCGTGCGCGTCCAAGTGCGGTTGGCGAACGAGGAGATCTGGAGGCAGCGGAAGGGAAAATTCCCTGGCGCCACTGAGAGACAAAAAGAACGAGTGTAGCCAGCGGTCGGAAGTGTAGACACCATAAGGAAAAGAAAAAGAGGTGCAAAAAACAGTAAGTGAGCCTGGGAAGAAGAGCGCGCGAGCTCTGAGCCGCGGAGCTGCGCGTTCTCTGATGTATCCGTGCGCTCCGCGCAGTCCGCACCAGTCAGGTCTCTACCCTCCCTAGGCTGCCCAGTCACTTCTTTCTCTTGGGCGGGTAGCCGAGCACTCTCGTTCTACTCACCCTCAGAGCTTTCCAAAATCTGCGAGAGCCCACAAAGAAGCAAAAGAACCAGCCAGCGCCCCATGTTGCAAGATTGGAACCTTAAGGCTCCGCCCTTCAGGGGACCGCGACTTCTGAGCACCACACGCGCGCGCGCGCGCGCACACACACACACACACACACACACACACACACACATTTCTGTAGCCCTTGGCCAGATCACCTGCCAGCTCCCAGCCCCACCACGGTGGAGCTGGTGGGTGAGTTGGTTTTTTGCCAGGCTGTGTCTGCCTATAGAGAATCTAGGGAACTCCAGGGAGCTCATTTCAGTACGTTTTCTAGCCAGCTTCTCTGACCTTTCGATTTCCATGAAGATAAAGTGGAGCAGATAGTGCACCCAGGAGCATGCTGAAAATTAGCCCCATCCAGTGAAGCTGAGCTTTCAGTGGCAGATTCTAACTCTGCAAGGAAAATAGTTACTCCAGCCTCACTCTGAGGAAGTTTGTCTCTCACTCCTGTAAGGTCCAGATTCTGTCCCGGGGAAGATGCCTGCAGGAACTGCGTAGGTCGCAGGTGGAGGTTGGCTTGCGGCTGCAGGATTCCAGTCAGAGCGTGATCCTCAGGTCTGTGGCCTCTGTCCAAAAACAGACCGAGAATGTTGCTGCCCCATGTCTCACTTCTGAACACCTACCATTAGCATTTTTTTTGTTTGTTTGTTTTAAAACCAATCTCTTTCCCAAAGTGAGAGAGAAAATCCCTCATGGAATTGTGTCCAGAAGCACCCATTCTCCCCTCTGCATGCCCAGAGGCTGCAACTGCCCAGGCCAGAGGGCATTTAAAAGTTAACATGCCCTCTCCCATGCCCACTACAAGAAAAAATAAAAATCAAAAAAATGAAGGAAATCTACCTCAGGTAACAGGATTTGACCTTTAGGATTTCTTCAACATTGTAGGAGTGTGTGTGTGTCTGTGTGTGTGTGTGTGTGTGTGTGTGAGAGAGAGAGAGAGAGAGAGAGAGAGAGAGAGAGAGAGAGAGAGGGTCTTGCTATGCAGTTCGGGCAGGCCTTGAGCTCACTTTGCAGCCCACGCTGGTCTCGAATTCACAACAATCCTCCTGCCTCAGCCTAGGTTTCTTCAATTTTTGAGTCTTACTTGTGTAGTGTAACTTTTGTAGCTGCTTGCTACAAAGCAAGCTAGTGAAGCATGACAGAGCAGAAGTGCATCGTCCATGTTGTTGCGATGGATTCCTGTCCAGCACGTCACAGCTTTATATTTAACGACTTGATGGGTGGTATGAATGGTAATTGTGTGCATTTTAAACACTACAGTGAAAATTGTAAATGTAGCTTCTGTACTCGTACATAATTCTAAAGTGTTTTAATCAGTGTTAAATAGCTTTTTGTACAGGCTTCAATCCATTTTTCTGAAATGTGTTGTTTTTTAATCAAAGTAACTATAATCTTTTCACACCACGTGGAGCTTCTGTTTACACACTGCAACTTTTTAAACTTAATCATATTTTTGAGAATTAATTTTTTGGAGGAGGTAATTCCCCACTGGCTAAATGATATTAAATGTTGTTTAAGCTCTTATTAAGTCTTAATATTTTATAAAAATATAGTTTGTAACTGTCTAGGTTGTTCACTAAAGTTGGTTGTTCATAAAGAATATAAAGTGACATCCAAATGCTTATAAATGTCTGGATTTTTCCACTAACAATGTAATGTGGAGAGCATTTTGTTTATGCATACTTTAACCATTAAATTGGACAAGTCTTCAAATTCTCTTAGTTAATACAAACCTTTTTTGTTGTTGTTTTTTACTGTGCTTGGATATTTTAATATAATTTTGCCTAAATCAAACAACTCACAATAAATGTTAATTTTTAAATGTCAAACTTTGGTAAACCATCTACTTTGGGAAGCAAGATTACAATATGCTTAAATTTAAGTGATGGGTAAAAACAGCAAATTTTGTGACATGTTGCTTTAGCTTCATTAAGAGAAATTGCTAGGGACTTTATTTTTGGTCAGTTGAATAGATAATGTCAGTGTTTGGGAATTTTTCCTTAAAATTTGTTCATGTATTATTTTGATCTATTTTCTGTGGCATTTGGTACAATAAACCTTTAGAATTTATCTTGAAAAAATAAAAATGAGCAGAGAGTGAAACTTCTTATACTAAATTTTGAAAGCACAGTATAGATGAAGTTGCATCTACATTACAACTCCAACCTACAAAAAGTGCAGAGGAAGGTACTGAGATGTAGCCCAGCGGCAAAGTTCTTGAGTAAGACCAGCAAGGTCCTGGATTTGGCCTTCCAACGCAATCTTTACCTTAGCAGGGAATGCATCCCACCACACGTAATTGTAATTTGCTTTTATACTATGACATCTTACAAAATGTCTGACAAGTGCAAGTGTCACAATTAAGATATATTAAAAACATTAAAAGGAATTTTCTCAGGGCATCTTGAGAGGACTGCCCTGAGCTGACCCCTGAGCCGAGCTGACCAAGATTCTTTACAACATTCATAGCCCAAGACTCTTTCACCTAAGATTCCTCAGCCTCTTGACCCTCAGATCCCTCACTTTGCCTCTTCTGACTCTGATTCTGTTTTTGGAGGAGTTCAAGAATACCTCATTTTACTGCAGTTCATTTTATTGTGCTTTGAAGATATTGATAGAGCAGGTAGTTAGACATGAGCTGAATCTACAAGAAAGGTCGCTGAGCCCACATGGGAGACTCTGAAACAGGATGTGGTCTAAGCTTCACGAGCCTGTGGTCTCTAATAACTGAAAAGGGTTCATCAGCCCCTTTCAGATACTGTACCAGTACCTGAGACCCACGCATGTGCACCTACGGGACTCAAGCCCCATACTGACCTCATTAAACCCTGTCTAACCCAGCTAGTCTTCATTTACATACATTTGAATCACAGTTTTGACCTCTCAGTGGGCTGCTACCACCTCTTCGTTCTTCCCATAATCATAAAAATTCAAAACTTGCTCCTCCTGAGGAAGAGGTAGAGTCCTATTATTGATTCAAAGAAGCCATGGCCACAGACCACTACCAATCCCCAAATTCTAGGGAAACAAAGAGAAATCAACCCATTCTTGGGGTACTTAACCCTTCATCAAGCTGCTCATCTCTCCTTTCTTGGGAATGCACTCTCCTCAAAAAAAGAAAACTGTTTTTGTGTTAAGCCTGTATTATGCTTGACATGCAATAAACTGGTTTGCTGAACCTGCTATTATTTGACACTGAGTTCCTTTCTAAAGAACTGCCCACAAATCTTGTCAGGAAGGATCCTATTCAGTACAGACACAAGACAGACCATCAACTCAGCTCAGTAATCCAATCACAAAGGCCTGGACTAGTTCTTGTATTAATATCACAGTTGGTGTTTTGTACTCTGTTCCCAAATTAGTGAATATCACAGGCCTAGGGGATGTTTTGTTTTATTTTGTTGCTTTGGAGGAGGAGGGTACCTGGAATCAAACTTATAACCTCACACTTGACAGGCAGGCACTGTGCCACGGAGTTACATTCCTAGGATGTAGCTCAGAATCTCCTTCAGAATCTTATTTACTTATTTGTATTTTATACAAGGCCTGGGCAAGTTGTGATCTCCCAGGGCCACTGGACAAGGGTTTTGCTATCATTGTTATAAACTTTATACCAATTAAAGGATCCATCTTTATAAAGAGAAACACAACATGTCACTCCTCGCTTTCCCAAGGCTGTCTCTTGTGTGGAATTTAGAAAACAGTACCTCACACTGAAGTAACACCAGAACCCTGTCAGCTCATTTTTGCTATTCTGGATTTCATGTTTCCCTGCTATAGGCAGGCACTTTTCATTTTAGCTGGGATTTCGTTTGTTCATTTGGTTGGTTTTCTTTGGTTTTTCTTTTGTAGACAGGGTCTTCCTATACAGTTCAGGCTGGCCTTACCTCCCTATGTAGGCCAGTGTGGCCTGGAATTCACCACAGTGTTACTGACTCAGCCTTCGGGCACTGGGATTACAGGCATGCATCATGTACTATTTTAAACCTTTAGACCCCACTGCAGTTTGCATTTAGAAGTCTCTGACTAATGCACTGGGATGGGTGAGCAGTTCCTAATATCTTTCTCAATCTTTTTGCCAGAAATTGTCCATAATAATGTGTGGTGTTGAACTGCCCTGAGTAAACTAACTGAAAGCATTTATAATTATCTCCTGTTCAGAAGATGTCATTCTGAATAAGGTGTGAGAGTTGACCCCCCTGCTACAACCCCCTCCCCAGAGCGGGGAATAAAAGGGTTAACTCCCTAACTCCCCAGAGCGGGGAATGAAAGGGTTAACTCCCTAACTCCCCAGAGCGGGGAATAAAAGGGTTGACTCCCTAACTTCCCAGAGCTATCAAAACAGAGCAGTAAAGAGTGCTTCACTCCCTAAACCTTTCCCAGGAGATAGTCAGAGCGGGGCCAAAGGGAATGTCTCTGCTAGTCATTAACCACTAGATGTTCTGTTCTCTGTAAAGATAGAGATAGGCAAAAGAATGTACTGTATAAACAGGACCAGGGAGCACCTGGCACTCTAAGGTCAACCCAAGACCCTCGGTCTCCATGGTTACTCAGCCCCAGACCCTCAAATCAGCATTAGCCAGGTCCTGCGCCGCTCAAAATTAACCAATGCGATTTGCTTCTGTAAACTTGCTTGCCTCCTGCGTGTACCTTTAAAAACCCTGCACAAATTCCCCTCGGGGCCCCCTCCGCACACGTTTGCCTGAGGGACCCCATGCGCATGGAAATAAACTTTCTTTTCCTCACCAAGAGCTGAGTCCTTGGGGTCTCTTTCCCTGCGGCGTTGGCCCTAACATCTTGGAGGCCCCAGCGAGATTAGCACGTCTCACGGGAGGTGACCCCAACGGCTCTACGGGTGAGTACGACTGGTCGCTTTTCATACCACCGGTGTTTACGCCCCGAGCCATACGGCTCCGATCTAGGGGCAATTTTTGTTATCTGTTTCGTACTCTGTTCCCTGGTGACTGGGGGACGCCCCACACGGTTTCCGTGGTTCACCGTCTGCGATAGGGTCTCCCTATCGATCTGGGGGATTTCGATTCCCAATCTGTGGTCCGTCTGGGCCAATCTGGA